GCTTATCTCTAATTTTAAGGATAATTAAGTTACCTCTGGGTCGGTTGAGTTAATGATATCAAATATTGGATGGCCTATGCATTATCTGGAAAAACATCCATGGGAGTTTCTCCTATGGTTATCATCAACTCCAGGGATTTCCATGACTACCATAATCCATACGTTAAGTAAAATCAGATATTAGCATCACAAAGACAACGAGAAACATAGGACATGATAATACATTCCATAGCTAGTCCATTAATATAACACATTCAGTTGCAAAAAGTGAACTCTGCAGACGACGTGGTTCAACATCTGGAGCATACACTCCCAATCCATCGCGCCCTTCTTTGAATTCAACATACTGCTCTCATAATTCGAACATAACCTTCTTATAGAAATCAGGGTCTGCTGGCTCAACATATTTTAAAAACAAAAAGCATTACATTCAAAAACAAAGGATCAAGAAATATTTATGAAAACTGTTCAATTGATTGCTTCAAAAAACAATTTTCTAAAAACTAAATAAATCAGTTTATATTTCAACTCTTGAAAGAATACCATGTAACTCCTTGAAGCAAAATAAAAAATAAGAACACTTATAGCGATATATATTTGCCTATCTCAGTGAGATCATTAAACGTATGCAAAATTGAAAGGGTAAAAATTAAACATAAAAATCACCCCATCGAATCTGATTCGTAACTTGGGAGGTTGAAAGAGGGGAAAAGGGAGTCTCCACTGAAGCTTTGATGGGTCTGAGTTTGTCTTGCTGTTATTGCTGAAACAGTAACGGGTCGCTCTGCTACGTGACTTTATCTCATGCGTGATACTGAATAGACTATGCTTATGACAGAGATGAGACTGAGTAAGATGATGAAGAGAAACGAGATAACCATGGGAAGAAGAAGAAATTATTCAAGTTAAAGTTCAAAGCTCGTACTTTACTGGTCTTGTGGTTTAAGTTTTGACAACGTTTCACGAAGCGGTTCGTCTCTGTATTTTGTAAAAATAATAAACACATTCATTATTATCAAAAATCAAATTAATTTGTCAAAACTTCAGGAAATTCATGGATTTTTTTTAAAATAAATTAATTTTCTTTCATCCATTTACTGTGCTTGAGTTATTCTAGAACTGGATTAATTTCTTGAGGATTTTAACTTGATTTCGATGATTTTTTTTAATATATACATAAGTAATATTTTGCTATTTTTAGTCTACTGTAGAGGAGATTTAGCTAAGAAACCATTCTAAAAAAATCTTAACACAAATATAATTTCATTCTCTAGGGCAAAATAAAATAAATTTTATTAAATGTCCTATTTAATAGAAAAATAAAAATAAAAATTCCAAACCCTTCAAGATTTCTTTAGCTCTGAGGCAAGGAGTAATATTGTTCATGATTCGAACATTTTTAGTAACATATAATGATATCAATGTCGATAACATTCAACAAGAAGCGATAACAAAATAGGGGGAGACAGTTATCGCTAGTCACTTGCGTGAGTCCAAGAGTTCAGTCAATAATAGATGTGGGATCACATAAATCATTCAGTAAGTAAATTGACGAGGAAAGATATAGATATGTAAAACAGTCAAGAACAAGTCAGACGAAACAACTTAAAAGAGTCATAAGATGCTTCAGATTTAATTTCTAACCCCATTTTGCAATGTTTTTCTTTAGAAACTGTGATGTCTTTTTATTTGACTATGCCTTTACCTAATTTTACTGTTCCAAGCCCTACACTGGCTATCAAACCAACCAATAAAAAATAAATTATTAAGATAGTACCTTTTCGAAATTCATACTTGCTGCCCTTGTCTAAATGAGGTGTGAAAAGTGATCTTTAGATCTAGTCTTAAGTTATACAATTTCCTAAATGCAGAGGACAAAGTGTCAATCATAGAATTAGTGTATGTAAATCACATATGAACAAAGGTTACAATGAAATTTCACCTTGCACTATCTTCTTGAATTTAGAATATAGTTGGGTATATTCCTTTGCATATCACTGAAATTTGTTATCAGGGACTGTTCTTCCAGTTTGTAGTGACTAACTAACCTAGTAAGACTTGTCTACATACAGATTTACTCAAACCATATATCAGAAGTGATCTCTATTATCTCATTCTGAAGAGTCTACTAAAGGTTATAAACTGAGATGGTTAGTTGCTTAACCCCAGTCAGTCAACTGTCAAACTGAAGCAGAGGACGCTGTCTTAAGTCAAAACTCACTCTAAATTTATTAGCTCATGACAATTACATGGGAATACAAATGGAATAACTGACCTAAATAACTGCTCACTAATCAAGCAATGGATCGGACATGTATTGGTTTGTAGGTACGAAAGGAATCTTGCTAAATTCCTAATCAAGAACTTCAGAACGCGCTACAGAAAATGACACAATAGATACAGAGAATTATCCTTTTATAGATCAAGTAAAGCATGTCACAAGCCAAACACCATCAATCTTGCTTAGACGTTTTTCCTTTTTACCTACTGCTTGCTATTTTCTATGAATAAAGAAAATGATTTAATGCATCACAGTAAGACTAATATACACAATTTGTTGAATGCATATCATGGAAAGAAAAAAGTATCTACCACAACAATGTTAAACTTCTAACACCAAAATTCTTGATCAGCTTTTGTTATGTTGCAGATAAGCAACCCAAGGAATTGTTTACCAATTCCAAGGTATATCTTCTCCAGGCTCCCACATCTTTTCATGGAGAAACTCAAGCAAAATGTCAATGAAAACAAATGTATTGCTATATCAGATACACGAGAAAAGAACAGATGCCACAGAAGCAAAAAATCAAATCATATAAAAACGACTGCAATTTGGAATAATCATCATTTTCACTCATTATAAATTTCAAGATTTCTAGAACTTCCTTCGTTTTCAACATCCGAAATGGTACTTCTGTAACTCAGATAAAGAACAACCAAGTCATCATGAATAATTAATTTCATCTCATGGATTCTTAGTCTAAAACTTTTTCCGCATCATTATCAAGGAACTATGATTTCAGGAAAAAATCTTATACAAAATATAACAACAAAATCCCAAATAAACACAGAGATGTCTTTCATAAAGGCTAACCTGCTCTATCTTCCAATAGCCATAATCTGATCCAACAAAGCCAACACTTTCTCCAAACCCTCACCTTCACCATTCTCAACTCTCCCAAAGCTCATTCAACTCCTTAGCCTCCCTAATTCTAGCCTCTCTCAAAAAACTCCTAAAAACCCCTTTCCTCAAACCACTTTCACCACCAAATTCATCCTAAAATTCCCTCAAAACCTCCTCTCTCCATAACCAACCCCATTTACACAACCCACAACCAAAATCTCACACACACTCTTCCACTTTACTGGAGAGCCAGGCCTCAGCATCAGTTGTACACTTTCAAAGCATCTTTTGTACCTTTTTGAGATATGAAGACACAAGAAGTGTGGTGATTAATTGAGTGTGAGTGTGCTGTTGGGTATGTTTGAGTTTGGTTAAAAGTGCCATGGGGAGGACCAGTCGGGCTGGGAAGTGAGAGAGTGAGTTAAAATGGAGAAAGATAGAGACTTGGGAGGGGTTGTTGTGTAAAGCTGTGAGAGTGAGTTAATGGCTGTGTTTAATGTGTTTGTGAGGCATAGGCGTGGGTTAAGAGTGATTTTGGCGAGTTCTTGTTGGGTTAATTGTGGTGTTAAAGTTGCAGTTTTGGGTTTGGGTTCAATGAAGATGTTCAATGTTGAGATGATGAAAAAAGTTGAACTTAAGAGATTTTAGGAAGAAGAAGGATTTGGAGAGTTTGTTCTTAAAGATTGATTTCATAGTCATCAAGCGAGTTGTGAGTACCAGTTTGGACGTGGCCATGGGGTTTCAGCTCTTTATAATTTATATGCAAGAAGTTTAGGAAATTACATTAAACCCATTAGATTTAAGAATTTACATAACATCCAATTATAAATACATTAGGCATAATCCAAAGATCAAACTACGATGAGAGCCACTCGGCTAAGCACTCAGGGGTAGAGATGGCGGTAAGGCAGGCCGAGGCCAAAATTTTATCGACCAACCCTGCCAATAGGTCTGCCGTGCCATGCCAAGCAATCAAACTCAACGGCCAACAGGCCGACCATGGGCCCGATGGGTTGTGCCTTGTCTTTGTGGGGTGGACCCAAGTGTGCATAGGCGTTCTCAAAAATTTAATTTTTTTTTATTTGTAAATTCAGGGCCATGCTAGGCCCACATGCTAAATCCTAAGCTCACAACACATCACCAAATAAGGTCACGAGCCTGGCACGACACGAAATTTTTGTGGTTGTGCCAAAAGAATTAGGGGTCGTGCCGTCCAAAAAAAACCTGTCACCCTACATCAGGGGCAATGTAATTATGAAATTTTAGGAATTACAAATTTATAAAATAAATCTATTAAAATCACAAAAATGACGGTTGACGTACTTTGATTCAATGATAATAAAAATTTAGTATATAAAACCGTATGCTTTAATAATTCATGGGGACAAAATGAAAATAACCCGTAACATTTCAAAGAGAGGTAAATAGCAATAATGACAAGTATTACGATTGTGATTGGTATTTGAGTAAGTAGACGAGGGGGTATTAAGAATAATCTATAGGGATCTAATGACATTGAACTGTAAAGATTCAAACCAATTACCAAATTCAACTTAACAAACTAAAATTAAGAACAATCACAACACACAAAGAACAATCAACCAATAAGAACACGATTTATCGTGTTTCACTTATCTAAGATTTGGATAAGCTACATCCACGTTGAACTCCACAATTGAGGAGCTCTCTACACTAATTAGAACCTTTGTTACATATTACACACACTCTCACTCTACTGATCTCTCTCTCTTCCCACTCAACACTTTCTTCTTTACACCTACAAATCTGCTCCGAGGGAACTCTACTCGGAAACCTTGCACCCAAGAGTAAACTCAACCCTCACAAAGTGACTGAAAAACACTTACTGTAATGACAGAATTTGCAGCAAAGAAAAACAAGAAAAATACAGGCTCTTATGCGATACAACTGAGAGAGAGAGATGTTGAATGAACTACAGCTTCTGTTATACTTCAGACGGGAGAGGGGAGACTTTTATACTGCTGTCCAGGTGGCATCAAGACAGCCATCAGATTAGTTCAAGCAATCCAACGGTTAGAAGAAGCGCAAGTCAAAAAGGGCTACGTATAAGATAAGTGGTGCGACGCCGTTTCTAACTTCACCTTCAACAATGTCATTTACTTTATTTATAAAAAGGTCTCAGAGGAGAAGATCATAATATTGTACATGTTCATCTTTAATTAACGTGTTATTTAGAACTTTATAAATGAGTAAAATAATCTTGTATTTCATATCGCAACTCAGGTTTTTAACTCTTCTATATTCTGTTCGGCATCCGGGAGGAGGAGGATAAGCTCTCTTTCTCAGTATATTTCTTTTGGGACATAATATTCAGGTTCTTAATTACTTACTTTGCTTTACTATTTTTATGTTTTTTGTGTTAATATTTACATCCCCTAGGTCTTGCCCTTCGAGAGGCTCAATTTCCTCTTACTTTGCTTAAATTAATGATCGAGTTACAAAGTAGTTTTTGAACGTCGAAATTGCGTTTAAGTGAAGTGAGAGATTTTGGTTAAAGTTTGGAGACCCAAGATTTTTGAAAAAATCTATCCTTGACATTAAGACGATGTTAACAAAAGTAAACTGAAGTAAAAAACAATAAGGGTAGTTTAGTCATTTTGTAGGAATATCTACCACCTGAGTCAGTGGACGCCATAGTCCTTGTAAGTCTCTTGTTGTAGGTTTAAGGGGTATTATATTGAGCAAGACTAGTTTTACTAAGACACATACAAAGGGGACATATAAAGACAATCCTCACCCTTGATTTTCATGATTTCTTTCTCTCTCTCTCTCTTTTTCCGTTTTTTCTTTGTTTTTTTCTTCTGGATGATGTCACTTTGTAACCTTCTTTGTATGAGTCTTTGTAAGAATAGCATTTTTCTAATATAATACCCCTTTGTATATGTCTTTGTAAAACTAGCATTACTCATTATATTATATTATTTCTAAGTGCGGCCCATGTTCGAAGAGAATGAACAAAAAATGGTAGAGGGAAAAAAAAAAGATGGGAAAACTTTTCTTTGATCTGGAAGTTCGGTTACAGAGTAATATTCGTTTTCTTGTGCAGTATTAAGAACTTGTAGTCAGAAAGCCATGACATGCAAACTGTAGCTGCAAAATGTCGCAGAGTCAGCAAGCTCTGGCTCTCATATCATATATGATGAAAATCTCAGCTCTCAAAACTTTTCTTTCTTCAACTCCATGTACTCTCCAAGGCCTCCATCACAGCGTAATATTTAACTGTAGCTGCAAAAATTTGCACGGTAGAGGGAAAATAAAATGGGAAAATTGTCTTTGATCTGGAAGTTCGGTACAGCGTAATATTCATTTTTCTTGTGCAGTATTTAGAACTTTGTAGTCAGGAAAGCCAGGCATGCAAACTGTAGCTGCAAAAATGTCACACAGTCAGCAAGCTAGGCTCTCATATCAAATATGATGAAAATCCACCTCTCAAAGCTTTTTCGGTCTTTAACTCCATGACTCTCCAAGGCCCTCCATCACACACCACAATCCTATCAATACTCCCACCTTCTTCTCTCCTCGACATGCAATCTCATGCGCAGTCTCTCATTCTACAGATATATTCGGTCGCATTCATCTTCAGTCTCACTCTCACTCTCTTCTCCACCACTTAACAGAAAAAACACTTAATTGCGACTAACAGTAGTTTCATCTTTTGAAGCAATTGTAAATGCTTATAAAAATCTCAGTCAGTAGAGCAAGCTCGGTTTTGTTTAATCAAATGGTTGATAAGGGTCTTGTACCTGAATCAAATTGTGTTAATAATCTGTTGAGCTTTCTTATCAAATCTTTGGTTTTGAGAGAGTTGGTTTGTTTTTTGTGAGAATAAATGTAGGGTTTAAATTGGATGGCTATAGTTTTGGGATAATGATTAGGGATTGTGTGAGGCTGGTGATTTGAACCAAGGGATTTGTGTTTTCATCAGTTGGAGGATTGGGTTGGTCTCCAATGTTGTTATGTTATACTACTTGATTGATGGGTGTTGTAAAAGGTGATATCGAGAGAGCAAAAGTTGTTTGTATAAAATGGGTAGCTAGTGGTTGCTAATCAGTACACTTACCAGTTTTGATTAGTGGATTATTTAAAAAAGGCCTTAAAAGGAGGGTGGAGCTATATGAGAAAATGCAGTTTAAGGGGTGGTCACCAACTTGTTTACTTATATATTGTTTATTAATGAGTATTGCAATGATCGGAAAATAAGTGAAGGTTTTTAACCTGCTGATGAAATGCGTGTGAAAGAGGTGTGCTTGCAATGTGGTTACATATAACACACTCTTATGGTGGGATTATGTAAAGTGATGAGGATCGGGAGGCGGAGAGGTTATTTTATCAGTGAGAAATGCTAGTATTATTCCCAATTTAATCACATATAACACATAATAAGATGGGTTTTGTAATGTTGGGCAATTGGACAAGGCTTTGACATTCTTTGACATTAAAGTCAAATGGTCATTCACCATCTTTAGTGACCTATAATGTTCTAAGGGAAGTTTTGTAGAGCAGGAATTAGGTAGAGTTTTGATATGCGTAGGAGATGGGAGAGAGAGGGCATAACTCCTCTAAGTTACTTATACAATTCTAATAGATGCATTTGCTCGATATGATCATTGGAGAAAGCTTTTCAAGATACATGCCTTCATGGAGAGGCTGGTTTGTCCAGATGTTTACACGTATGGGGTTTTGATCCATGGATGTGTGTATGAAAGGCAATATGAAAGAGAGATCAAAACTATTCAAATCATGAGTTGAGATGCAGTTGGAGGCGAAGATGTTGTATATAATATGATGATCACGGGTATTGCAAAGGGATAACTCATATAGGGCCTTAGGTTGGTTAAAGAAATGGATGAGAAGGACTTGTTCAAATGTGTAGCTATAGCTCCACCATTGGTGTCCTTTGCAAGGGTGGAAGTGGCAAGAGGCTGAGGGTTTACTTAATGAGTGATAAGTTCAGGTTTAAAACCATCAGTTTTACATACGACATAATCTCTAGAGCCAAAAATGTTAGATAACTCAAGATTTCAAGCATTTCTTATCTCTCAGCAACATGGATGTAGACGGACTTAGAAGTGATTCCATGGGCAAAGTCAAATCGAAGCTTCCTGCCGCCCAATGGTGAGCAACCTTGTTCTAACAGCTGCCTGATAGAAGATGGAGACTGTTGAACATTGCTGAAATCAAGGTATATCTATACCATTTGTTTTGTTGTATTACAGATATGAACATTTGACTTATATTTTTATTTAACTTCCTCCAGTCCACGCTTATGTTTAGGTTTGCACCTGCTGAAAGAAAAAAGTTGATATAAATGGGTTCTGTATTGAACAGGAAAGCGGCAAAAGATTTTTCCCAAAATGCAAAGTGAGGTAACAGCGAGAACTTTACTCACAGGCACATTGTAAATGACAAAACAAAATTGGTGGGACATTCAACCGTGTTATATATATATAAATTTTGTTTACTATGATACAATGCAGGAATTGATTGTATTTCTTTATCATTTCATCCTATTTTATTCCAAATCGGTTCTGATGATCACCAACCAAATTTGAAATTCATTTATTCATTTGCTAAACTCACATCGGACATCTGGCAATTGTGAATGACAATAAAAGACAATTGATGAAGTGATATAGTTTTGTATACCATATATGATCAATAAAATTAGCTAATTATGGTTGTTCGGTGTCGAGATATTTAACATTATTTATTTTTGAAACCCTACATGATAATCTCTCATTTTATATATATTATATTTGGTGTGGAGAAATTCTTCGGGAAGACAGATATACCATGTCATTGTGCCACTTCTTCAATCAAATCTATAATAATATATATTATATATATATATATATATATGAGTGTGTGTGTGTGAAACGGAAAAAATTGGTGTTGTGTTGTGGTTATCCTTTTTGTGTGTGTTTGTATCCACGAAGTGCTGGTCCTTTTTGTGGGTGTTTTTGTTGTGTGTGCTTTTGTTGTGTGTGTTTTGGTGGTTTTGTTTGTGTGTGGTGTGTGTGTGTTCAGGTAAAATTTGCCTTTGTTTCAAATTGCTTAGCTTTGGCTTTTAACTTAACTTTCACTTAATGGAAACATCAACTAGAAGACATGCATGGAATCATGTGTGGTAACATTTTAGTCCCTTCCTTAAGTTTGTGTGTCAAACATATAAACTCATGAAAATCTAATTTATTGGAAGCACATGATACACTTATAAAAAAAAAGGTGGTGTGTGATAAAATATGAAGTTAAAGTAGTTAGAAGTTCTCTTGGTGATGACATGTTATAAATAATTGTAGAAACATAAACTAAGAGGACTAAAGCGGTTAAAACAAGAATACAAGGGTTTAGCAATTCATATTCATTTTTCTCCCATTTTCTAAGTGTGCAGTATAATAAAGGATTGGTTAGCTGTTTTAGAGTTAACACCATCGAATACAGCCAACACAATCGGCTTTATAACCATTTCGTAAGCCAATTTTCAAAAGCCCCCAGCTAAAATGCCCACATGTCTCTATTTCTGAAGTCCTAGAGCCCCCTCCATCTCAAGCCATTTGGGAAGTTGACAAAAACCTAAAGGTGTTCGGGTCCATTTGCTATGACTTAAATTCTCTTATTTCTTATCACGTAGGTCGATGGAGAAACTGTCGCTATTTCAATAATTTCTCTGACTATATTTTCCATATTAACCATATTATTGTTATAACTTATAAGTGTGTGCCAGGAGTGATAAGAGAGAACACAAATGTGAGTTCATAATTACATAACCGTGTTGTGCGGCCCTCGGGGAAGCAACAAGGGAGGAAGATCTTGCTCTCTACTCAGCACACAAAGTATTTCTTCCCGGCCAAAATACTCAGGTCATTTACTTCATTTATAAAGGTTCGTTCTTCTAATTACTTTATTTGCATATATATTTTTTCTTCTGTCAATTGGAATATTTATGTGAAGTGAGGTAGAGGATATTGTGTTTTTTAAAGAGTGAAACAGAAGGGTATTAAGGGACAAATCATGTCTTTAACCTTAATCACTCAAACATTCCTCTTCCTTTACAAATACTTAATCAAAAAGGCTCTTTTAGCAAAATGCTTTGGAAGGAGTCTTCTTGTAGAATCATACGATCGAACGAAGAAAATTCCAGAAAGTTTAAAGAACCCTAGAACTCTAAAGAACTACGGATCGTGAAAGCCCCAAAAATTGACGAATCAATTAAGAATAGACCTAGAGATCGATGAACCCTGATTTTAACCTGATATGAGAGTGAGATTAATGGCTGTGTTAATGTTGTTTGTGAGGCATAGGCGTGGGATTAAGAGGTTGATTTTGGCGAGTTCTTGTTGGGTTAATTGTGGTGTTAAAGTTGCAGTTTTAGGTAATGGGTTCAATGAAGATTGTTCAATTGTTGAAGATGATGAAAAAGATTGAAACTTTAAGAGATTTGAGGAAGAAGAAAGGATTTGGAGAGGTTTTGTTCTTAAAGATTTGATTTTCATAGTCATCATAGCGATGTTGTGAAGTTACCAGTTTGGAGTGGCCATGGGGTTTCAGCCCCTTATAATTTATATGCGTAAAAGTTTGAGAAATTACATGGAAACCTATTAGATTTGAGAAATTTACACTAACATCCTTTTATAAATACCAAGCTCGAACTCGATAAGCCAGCGGGCTTAACCCTGGTGCAATGGCATTATGAAATTCTATGAACAAAATTTTATAAAACAATCGATTGAAATTAACAAAAATGACCCTCTGATTCGGATTGATAATAAAAATTTGGTTGATGTTGGATTTTGACACCAACTATTTGTATGTATAAAGTGTTGAGTTAATTTAGAAATTACACGGAAATAAAAAATGAAATAAATAAATGAGAGATATTTTTAAAGTGGTTCAGATGCTTAAAGCGAATCCTCTATACACTGTCTTTTTATAAATGAGAGATTACAATTATGTTGAGAGTAACGACCAGAGAATAGAAATACAGAGAGAGAGTGTTTATGTTATCAGAATCCCGAAAAATAGAGGGGAGCCTTTTATTTATAGTAAGAGGTTTTTAGGTAATGATCACAAGTCTGTAAGCGGGTAGGTATTATACAATTCCTACACTGCTTCCCATTGATTGATTGCACAAGAGATATTCTTAAATCGTGCAGGTTTGAGCAGGTGGATGACTCCTAGTCACTCACTAGCCAAATCTTTACTTCCCAAGTTAATGACAGTCTTATTTCTTCTGTCTTTGAATGATGTAACAGTATTTAGATGACATAAATCTTTATGAACTCTAATTGGTCTTGACTGATGTAAGCGTGTGTCAGCTTGATTTTTTGGGCATAATAAATTTATTATTATAAAACTCTGTTTTTTTGATAATTTATGGGGACAAAATATGATAACCCCGTAAAAATTTAAAAGAGGGGGGTAAAATAATAATGACAAATATTAGGATGTGATCGATTGGGATAGACGATGTTATTATAATAATCTATAGGGATCTTACTGACAGTGGACAAACAAATATTAAAATGAGGTCCTCTTTCAAATCGCGCAAAATCTATCAGCTCTCTGCCCTTGATTCTTGTATTCATTAAAAAAGAATGCATTTACCTTTCTCCCCTGGGAGGAGAACTTGAATCTAGCTAGGGCGCCCTGCCCTCGTAAGGGGTATAACTGTCAGAGGAAAGCGCAACGAAGACCCTCTTTAAGAGAGAAAGCTCCCCGCCGCTGAAAGAGACCGAAGAAGGTTCAACTAGCGCTTAGAGTTCGGTGCGAGGATCGCTGCCGTTACCTGCCGCACACGCCGCCGTACGCCGATGTGGAGGTATTTCCTAATTCTTTCCTGCTTATTCTTTCTATGAGTTAAGTGAATGATGCATTCAATCGGTTTTAAACTCAATTTCTTATATTTAATTTAAAGACATTCAAAATTCAAAATTGAAGTAAAATTGTGCTGTGCTGTGCTTTTATTTCTTGATTCATGTGATGCTTAAATTCATAATTTCGACATTTTTTTTCTGTTTGTCGTTTAAATGTAGCAATGGTGTAAAACTAGCTTTAAAATCTCTCTCACTAAAATGAATCTACTTGTGCTACATTATTTTTGTATTTTTGTTTAAAAATATTTTAAGGTTTTCTTTCCTTTTCCCTTGTTTCTTTGATGGGTTGATGGTAAATTATAATTTTGATAATTTTGCTAATAGTTTTTGTATGAGATGATTCTGTATTTGTGATATTTGTTACAAGGTAAAATCGTTTACAGACAGTTTGTGTACTGAAGATGATGAGATATATCATTTGTGTTGACATTGCAAGAAGCGAATTCACATTTTTTTTTTTTAAGAATTTGTAAATAATTTGTTATCTATGCTGACATTTTCGAAGACAATGAACAAAAAATGGTAGAGGGAAAAATAAAGATGGGAAAACTTTTTCTTTGATCTGGAAGTTCGGTTCGAGTAATATCGTTTTCTTGTGCAGTATAAGAACTTGTAGTCAGAAAGCCATGACATGCAAATGTAGCTGCAAAAATGTCGCCAGAGTCAGCAAGCTCTGGCTCTCATATCATATATGATGAAAATCTCAGCTCTACAATTTTGCTTTCTTCAATCCATACTCTCCAAGGCCTCCATCACAGCGTAATATTTTAACTGTAGCTGCAAAATTTTGCACGGTAGAGGGAAAATAGAATGGGAAAATTGTTCTTTGATCTGGAAGTTCGGTTACAGCGTAATATTCATGTTTTCTTGTGCAGTATTTAGAACTTTGTAGTCAGAAAGCATGGCATGCAAACGTAGCTGCAAAATGTCACCACAGTCAGCAAGCTAGCTCTCATATCAAATATGATGAAAATCCACCTCTCAAAGCTTTTTTTCGTCTTTAACTCCATGACTCTCCCAAGGCCTCCATCACACCCCACATCCATATCAATAACTCCCACTTCTTCTCTCCTCGAACATGCAATCTCATGCGCAGTCTCTCATTCTACAGATTATCTGGTCCATTTCATCTTCAGTCATCACTTCTCACTCTCTTCTCCACCACTTAACAAAAAAACACTTAAATGCGACTCAACAGTTAGTTTCATCTTTATGAAGCAATTGTAAAGCTCTTATAAAATCTCAGTCAGTAGAGCAAGCTCTGTTTTATTTTAATCAAATGTGATAAGGGTCTTGTACCTGAATCAAATTGTTTAATAATCTGTTGAGCTTTCTTATCAAATCTTCTTGTTTTGAGAAGAGTTGTTTGTTTTTTAGTGAGAATAAATGTAGGGTTAAATTGGATGCCTATAGTTTTGGATAATGAAATTGGGATGTTGTGAGGCTGGTGATTTGAACAAGGGATTTGAGGTTTTTCATCAGTTGGGGATTTGGTTGGTCTCCAATGTTGTTATGTTACTACTTTGATTGATGGGTGTTTTGTAAAATGGTGATATCGAGAGAGCTAAAAGTTGGTTGATAAAATGGTGAGCTAGGTTTGTTGCTAATCAGTACACTTACACCATTTTGATTAGTGGATTATTTAAAAAGGCCTTAAAAGGGTGTTGAGCTATAATAGAAATGCAGTTTAATGGGGTGTCACCAAACTTGTATACTTATAATTGTTTGATTAATGAGTATTGCAATGATCGAAAAATAAGTGAAGGTTTTTAAACTGCTTGATGAAATGCGGTGAAAGAGGTGTGCTTGCAATGTGGTTACATATAACACTCTTATGGTGGATTATGTAAAGTGATGAGGATCCGGGAGGCGGAGAGGTTATTTTATCAGATGAGAAATGCTAGTATATTCCCAATTTATCACATATAACACAAAAAGATAGAGGTTTGTAATGTTGGGCAATTGACAAGGCTTTGACATTCTTTGATCAATTAAAGTCAAATGGTCATTCACCATCTTTAGTGACTTTAATGTTCTAATGGGAAGTTTTTGTAGAGCAGGAAATTTAGGTAGAGTTTTGATATGGTGAGGAGATGGAGGAGAGGGGCATAACTCTTCTAAAGTTACTTATACAATTCTAATAGAGCATTTGCTCGATACTGATCATATGGAGAAAGCTTTTCAGATACATGCCTTCATGGAGAGGCTGGTTTGGTTCCAGATGTTTACACGTATGGTGTTTTGATCCATGGATTGGTATGAAAGGCCAATATGAAAGAGGCATCAAAACTATTCAAATCAATGAGTGAGATGCAGTTGGAGGCGAATGATGTTGTATATAATATGATGATTCACGGGTATTGCAAAGAGGATAACTCATATAGGGCCCTTAGGTTGGTTAAAGAAATGGATGAGAAGGACTTGTTCAAATGTGCTAGCTATAGCTCCACCATTGGTGTCCTTTGCAAGGGTGGAAAGTGGCAAGAGGCTGAGGTTTACTTAATGAGATGATAGAGTCAGGTTTAAAACCATCAGTTTCTACATACGACATAATCTCTAGAGCCAAAATGTTAGATAACTCAAGATTTCAAGCATTTTCTATCTCTCAGCAACATGGATGTAGACGGACTTAGGAGTGATTCCATGGGCAAAGTCAAATCGAAGCTTTCCTGCCGCAATGGTGAGCAACCTTGTTCTAACCAGCTGCTGAGTAGAAGATGGAGACTGTTGAACATTGCTGAAATCAAGGTATATCTATAACCATTTGTTTTGTTGTATTACAGTATAGAACATTTGACTTATATTTTATTTAACTTCCTCCAGTCCAACTGCTTATGTTTAGGTTTGCCACCTGCTGAAAGAAAAAATTGATTAAATGGGTTCTGTATTGAACAGGAAAGCGGCAAACTGATTTTTCCCAAAATGCAAAGTGAAGGTAACAGCGAGAACTTTTACTCACAGCACATTGTAAATGACAAAAACACAAAATTGGTGGGACATCAACCGTGTTTATATATTATAATTTTGTTTACTATGATACAATGCAAGGAATCTGATTGTTTAGTTATTCATTTCATCCTAATTTTATTCCAAATCGGTTCTGATGATCACCAACCAAATTTGAATTCATTTATTTCATTTGCTAAACTCACATCGGACATCTCGGCAATTGTGAATGACAATAAAGACAATTGATGAAGTGATATAGTTTTGTATACCATTATGATCAATAAATTAGCTATATTTGGTTGTTTCGTGTCTGATATTTTAACATTATTTTATTTTTGAAATCCCTACATGATAATCTCTCATTTCTATATATATATATATTTGGTGTTGGAGAAATTCTTCGGGAAGACAGATATACCATGTCATTGTGCACTTCTTCAATCAAATCTTATATATATATATATATATATAATATATAATATATATGAGTGTGTGTGTTGTGAAAGGAAAAAATTGTGTGTTGTGTTGTGGTTATCCTTTTTGTGTGTGTTTGTATCCACGAAGTGCTGGTCCTTTTGTGTGTGTTTTTGTTTTTGTTGTGCTTTTGTTTGTGTGTTTTTGCGTGTTTTTGTTTGTGTGTGTGTGTGTGTGTGTTCAGTGTAAAATTGCCTTTGCTATTCAAATTGCTTAGCTTTGGCTTTTAACTTTAACTTTCACTTAATGTAAACATCAACTAGAAGACATGCATGAATCATGTGTGGTAACATTTTACTCCCTTCTTAAGTTTTTGTGTTCAAACATATAAAACTCTATGAAAATCTAATTTATTGGCAAGCACAGATACACTTTAAAAAAAAAAGGTTGTGTGTAAAATATGAAGTTAAAGTAGTTAGAAGTTCTCTTGGTGATGACATGTTATAAATTAATTGTAAGAAACATAAACTAAGAGGGACTAAAGCGGTAAAACAAGAATACAAGGGTTTAGCATTTCATATCATTTTTCTCCCATTTTCTAAGTGTGCAGTATTTACAAGGATTTGGTTGCTGTTTTTAGAGTTAACCAACGAATACAGCCAACACAATCGGCTTTATTAACCATTTCGTAAGCCAATTTTCAAAAGCCCAAGCTAAAATGCCCACATGTCCTCATTTCTGAAGTCGCTAGAGCCCCCTCCATTCATCAAGCCATTTGGGAAGTTGACAAAACCTAAAGTTGGGTCGGGTCCATTTGCTATGACTTAAATTCTCTTTATTTCTTATCACGTAGGTCGATGGAGAAACTGTCGCTATTTCAATAATTTCTCTGACTATATTTTCCATATTAACCATATCTATTTTATAACTTATAAGTGTGTGCAGGAGTGATTAAGAGAGAACACAAATGTGAGTTCATAATTACATAACCTGTTTGTGCGGCACTCGGGGAAGCAACAAGGGGAGAAGATCTTGCTCTCTACTCAGCCACACAGTATTTCTTCCGCCAAAATACTCAGGTCATTTACTTCATTTATAAATGTTCGTTCTTCTAATTACTTTTTTGCTATATATTTTTTCTTCTGTCAATTGGAATATTTATGTGAAGTGAGGTAGAGGATATTGTTGTTTTTTAGAGTGAAACAGAATGGGTATTAAGGACAAATCATGTCTTTAACCTTAATCACTCAAACATTCCTCTTCCTTTACAAATACTTAATCAAAAAGGCTCTTTTTAGCTAAAATCTTTTTGGAAGGAGTCTTCTTGTAAGAATCATACGATCGAACGAAGAAAATTCCAGAAAGTTTAAAGAACCCTAGAACTCTAAAGAACTTACGGATCGTGAAAGCCCCAAAAATTGACGAATTCTTAATTCAAGAATAGACCTAGAGATCGATGAACCCTAGATTTCTAACTCTGATACTACTGTAAAGATTCAAACCAATTACCAAATTCACTTAACAAACTAAAATTAAGAACATCACAACACACAAAGAACAATCAACCAATAAGAACACATTATCGTGTTCACTTATCTAAGATTTGGATAAGCTACATCCACGTTGAACTCCACAATTGAGGAGCTCTCTACACTAATTAGAACCTTTGTTACATATTACACACCTCTCACTCTACTCGATCTCTCTCTCTTCCCACTCAAACTTTCTTCTTACACCTACAAATCTGCTCCGAGGGAACTCTACTCGAAACCTTGCACCCAAGAGTAAACTCCACCCTCACGAAGTGACTGAAAAACCTTACTGTAATGACAGAATTTGCAGCAAAGAAAAACAAGAAAAATACAGGCTCTTATGCGATACAACTGAGAGAGAGAGATGTTGAATGAACTACAGCTTCTGTTATCTTCAGACGGGAGAGGGGAGACTTTTATACTGCTGTCCAGGTGGCATCAAGACAGCCATCAGATTAGTTCAAGCAATCCAACGGTTAGAAGAAGCGCAAGTCAAAAAGGGCTACGTATAAGATAAGTGGTGCGACGTCGTTTCTAACTTCACCTTCAACAATGTCATTTACTTTATTTATAAAAAGGTCTCAGAGGAGAAGATCATAATATTGTACATGTTCATCTTTAATTAACGTGTTATTTAGAACTTTATAAATGAGTAAAATAATCTTGTATTTCTATCGCAACTCAGGTTTTTAACTCTTCTATATTCTGTTCGGCATCCGGGAGGAGGAGGATAAGCTCTCTTTCTCTCAGTATATTTTTTCTTTGGGACATAATATTCAGGTTCTTAATTACTTACTTGCTTACTATTTTTATGTTTTTTGTGTTAATTTACTCCCCTAGTCTTGCCCTTCGAGAGGCTCAATTTCCTCTTACTTTGCTTAAATTAATGATCGAGTTACAAAGTAGTTTTTGAACGAAATTGCGTTTAAGTGAGTGAGAGATTTTGGTTAAAGTTTGGAGACCAAGATTTTTGAAAAATCTATCCTTGACATTAAGACGATTTAACAAAAGTAAACTGAAGTAAAAAACAATAAGGGTGTTTGTCATTTTGTAGGATATCTACCACCTGAGTCAGTGGACGCCATAGTCCTTGTAAGTCTCTTGTTGTAGGTTTAAGGGGTATTATTCAAGACTAGTTTTACTAGACACATACAAAGGGGACATATAAAGACAATCCTCACCTTGATTTTCATGATTTCTTTCTCTCTCTCTCTCTTTTTCCGTTTTTTCTTTGTTTTTTTCTTCTGATGTGTCACTACTTGTAACCTTCTTTGTATGAGTCTTTGTAAGAATAGCTTTTTCTAATATAATCCCCCTTTGTATTGTCTTTGTAAAACTAGCATTACTCATTATATTATATATCTAAGTGCGGCCCCTTCCTTTGTACTTGGGTTCGCCTTGCTTTATATATATATATATATATATATATAATTTTACTGGCTTTTATGTTATTTTTTACATATATCATTTTCTTAATTGTGAATCTTTTTATTTTTAAGATAATTAATAATTTTATAATTTTTTTTATTTATTTATAAACTATAATTGACCCAAAATCCTATTCAACCTTATTTTGAAAATCCTAATTATAAGATTTTATATTATTTTTAAGATCTTAGTTAAAATGCATACTCTTTTGAATATTTAATAAAATATTTAAATGAAATCAAGAATCTGATTCAATAAATACATTCAATTGTTAAAGTCCATCATTATAGAGTGTTGGTCTAGAGGACATTCTGCATAATTTCTAATAAATATTGAAATGGCTTTTGCTAAAGGCAGCTCATAGAGGTAAAGAATTCATTTCCATCCTTTAAAGAGTAAGTCTTTTGGGGTCTGCGTGGGTTTTATGGTAGCGGTTATGAGGGTAAACCATCGTAGCGGTTTTGAGGGTAAACTACCGTAGCGGTTTTGAGAGGTTTTTAGTAGGCGTTTTTTAAAACACCCAACCTGTGTTGGGAGTTTATTTTCCAACGGTTCTGACAGTTTTTGTAAATGATAAATGTACATAAATACCCCTAAAATTAAAACACTCTCTCTTTCGCTTAATTAACTTTGAAGTTATAAATTTGACTTGCATGTTTTTAGCTACTCAGTCTTGTGAAAAGGTGTTTTTACAAAGTTGTACTTATGTTTCTTATTAACACCTGGTTTTGAGTTTTACTTCCATTATCATTAGTCTGTGTCAGATTTAAGTGAGTTTTGGGTTATCCGATTTAGTAGAGTAGAAGCCGCTATAATTATCAAATTGGAATGCGGACATAGTTTTGACTCCTGTGAGAATAATAGCAAGCAAAAAAATTTGAAAAGAAAGAAGAGATTGTAAATTAATTTAAATGGGAGAAACAGATTGCAGTCAAATACTGAACACGTTTGCTTGAGAGGCGTTGAAAATGGTGGTTTAAATAGCTGGTGAATGACAACTTTTCTTTTCAAGTTTTGAGAAGATGTAATAGTTAATACTTATTACTATTGGAAGGATTTTTGAGAAAGAAACTACACTGGTTTGGTTGACGCCTAATACATTATCAGAAAACCAATGCCAATTTGGTTGACGCCTAATTTGCTGAAAGTGAGAAGAATCTAATACAAACCAAACGAGTTTTGTGCAGCAAAGGGATTTGTGTGTAACAAATTAAAACCATTCACTCACTTCGTGTGCAGTAGCAAGAGATTTGTGTGCTAGAGAGAAGTCAACAGCAGCGAGAGATTTGTGTGCAGCAAAGGAGTGGAAAGGGGTTTTTTTGGGATAAAAGTTTTAAACCAGCAAAACACTCCAATTTGGGTGTTTATAAACCTCTCAAAAATACACTACACTGGTTTGGGGGGGGTTTTTAAACCATGCAAAACCACCCTATTAAAAATCTGGCAAGTGGGGTTTTTAAACACCTCAAAACCAGTCTAATTAAAACCCTCCCAAACCAGTGTAAAAAAAACTCCCAAGCAGACCTTGTGAAAACACGACCTGGTCTTCACGTCAACACTGCAACTATTTGTTTAGGCCGAAATATTGATCAAGTTCGTAATTATTTTCAAACTTTACTTTATTATTTTAATTATCAGTTATTTAATTTGGTATAACTTGTTTATATAATTTCTTTATGCATTGTATTCTTGATTCTATTTATTTATTGGTATAACTTGTTTATATAATTTTTCTTTGTTAAGACTTAACACAATTCGAGATTAGGACGATGATTTAAATTTCTAATTGGATAAAATATCTGTTTCAACATATAATTATAAACCAAATGAATGAAACACTAGGAATTTTTAAAGCGGCAAAAAATTAATTCATAAAGAACCTTGTTAGGTTTAAGGGGTTAGGAGTGATGCATTTTTTAATAGATATGAGGATACTTTGACTAAATTGGCAATAATCATATATCTAAGTAGGATTTTCAATAAAGTTAGGAAGTTATTGTTTTCTGATAAAGATTAATTTACTCTCCACATCTACCCATAATACTATCATATATACCCTATTGCCACCTATCTACCCCTCCCAAGGCCGCCTCAAAATTATATTGATCTCACAATTTCCTCATTCCTAATTTCCCTTTTGGTTTTAGAGGTTATTGGTAACTAAGTGATAAAAACTTGTTTTCGGCGGCAGGACCTAGAGCTTCCAAGATGGAAAGTGTTGTTATTGAACTTGGCCAAGCAACTTCGCAATTAAATATGATGAAAAGCGTTGTATACACAAAGTTCCTAGGAATCTTAGAAAGGTAAATGACGAAGCCTATACTCCTCAATTAATTTCAATAGGCCCTTATACTATCACAGAGAAGAGTTGACTGACATGGGAATACATAAAAGAAGATATAGTGATGCATTTTTCGGACGAATTTTCCCGGATAAACTGTCGGAAATCGAAAAATTTATCCAGGCGAACAAAACTCGAATCGGCCATCATTATGCAGAGCTGCCTGACGATCTTATGGGCAGCGTTGACTTTAAAGAAATTATTCTACTGGATGCTGCTTTCATCATCGAGCTCTTCTTGAGATTTTTATTAGGATATAAAGATGATTTTTTGCTAACTGAGGTGTGGCTAGCACCTATAAAACGGGACTTATGGTTACTCGAAAATCAGCTCCCGTATTTTGTGCTTGATGAGATATATAAATTGGCCAGCACCTACGCCACGGAAATGAAGTTTCTCATTTTGAAATGCCCTTCAGTGATCTTTCTGGCGTTTTCTTTCAACTCCATCTCCCGCCCAACAGACCACTTCATATGCAAAGTACTAAATTCAAAATTAAACATTTCACTGATTTGTGTAGATATGGTCTAGTGGAAATTCCGCCGAATGCTAAGTCTAAATTCTCATTGAGGTCCCTCGGTGCTGTACCAAACGTGGTCAAATTGAAAAATTCTGGAGTGAAATTTCAGCATAGTCGGGGTAAATATTTGGTTGACGTTCAACTCACCAAACGACCAATGTCATTTTCTAATAAAGTTGAGTTGCAAATTCCACATATTGAAATAACTGACAACACAGAATGTTTGATTCGAAATCTGATGGCCTTAGAGGTGTGTCAGTATCCATCCGAAGCTTATATATGCCGTTATATTCACCTAATGGATTCACTTATCAATACCGAGCAGGAGGTGGATTTGCTTGTCGAAGACGGAATTATTTACGATCCTGCAGGTGACTATTCTGTAACAGCGACCATGTTTAATAAACTCTGCAAACAAATTCCTCAAAGTTATTCCCATTACAACATTTATAAGACTTTGAGTAGTCACTACCGCACTCCTTGGAACCATGCCATGGAAACCTTGGCTAGTGTGTATTTAACCAATTCTTTGGAGAGCCACGGCAACTGTTGCTGCAATTATACTCCTGCTGCTCACTTTGGCACAAACTGTATTTTCTATCCTGCAAGTTGTCTAACGGAAATATAGCTATGTAATTTTACTTTATGTATGGTGCTAGCTGCTTTGTTGTTTTTAGTGTAATATTTTTAATTGTATTAATTGGTTAATATTTTTATATGTGGATGAACTTATTTTGTACCTAGCTAATGATCAAGACACAAATATATGTAACTAAAATGAACTTATGTTCAAGCTTAACATGAAAAATAAAAAATAAAAATTAAGCATCTCGTAATGTTCTCTTATTAATTTGCTTTTTATATGATTTATGTGTTTGGATGTCCAACCTTTGAAGCAAAATTATTCAGAAGCCCCCAATATGAAGGTAACTTATTTTGGTGTGATGAATAATCCCTTTTGGTTAAAAATAACCAATAGATTTACAATTTTGTCATCTTTCAAATTTTGACTTTATATTTATCCTTCAAGAACCTTACATAATCAACCTCTTGTCTTCAATTTCCTATATCAGAAATACCTCTCTTAGATTAAAAATGTTACAGAAAGGACCCTCTCTTATTAGTCACGTGGCCTACGTCTTCTCTCTTTTTCAAGCTCACGTCGCTTACCAGTTACTACCCTGCCAATTTGTAATGGGCGCTTCTTCATTCTTATCACGTGGGTCAATGGAGAAAGTGTTCGGCCATTTTGATTTAGGATTTCTCTGACTATATTTTCCATATTAATTGTAAATATATTTCACGAATCAAATTGATTTGCATGAATGGAGCAACAAAGGAAAACTATGATGTCAACGTTAAATCAAATTGATTTTCACAATCCATTCAATCTTCATCCGAGCCATACTCTTAGTGTGATGATTGTTTCTCAACAATTAACAGGGTTTGAGAATTATTCACATTGGAGTAGAGCAATGATTGTTGCGTAGCAGCCAAGAATTGTATCGAATCTACTCTTGATTCGTCCTTACACAATCTTTGAGAGAGAGTAAATGCCATTGTACTGTCATGGATCTTTAATCTAGTGTCTAATGAAATTTTTAGTAGGGTTGTTTATGAGACAAACGCAAGTATTGTATGCAGATCTCAAAGAACAATTTGATAAGGTCAATGGAATGAAGATATATGCATACACAAAAAATAGCTTCTATTAATCAATATAAGCAAAGTGTTTATGCCTATTACCAGTATATGAACATTTGACTTATATTTTTATTTAACTTCCTCTAGTCCACTGCTTATGTTTAGGTTTGCCACCTGCCGAAAGAAAAAAAATTGATTAAATGGGTTCTAGTTTTGAACAGGAAAGCCGGCAAACTGATTTTTCCAAAATAAGAGAATGAATCGTCAAGTAATGTTTGCCATGACTCTTTTGCTTTTATCTCCATCACATGCACATAAAATTACTAATAATTTTATCGTTGAAAAGAAAAAGAAGATTTGTGTTTTTACATACAAGAATTGAAAATATGCTTTTTCACCACCTTTCCATTTTTATTCCTTTTTATATAATTACCTTGTTTATCGAAATTAATTATTATAAAAAGTCCTTAAGCTACCATTAGCATCTTGAATAACAAATCAAATATTAAATTAAATGCTATCTTCCACTTCACGTTACTAAGCTGATCACGTTTCGTACATTGATTACTGTAACAATTATTTGGCTCATAATAATAATTCAGTAGAATGACGATTATGTTTGCCTGAACATACCCAAGATTTGCCGTAACGACAAAGTAGTACTCAAAAGGTTTTGAAACGACAAATAAGTACCTTCCGTCTGTGCTGTTAGTGATTTCCGTTTGCTAATAGTGAAAAGACTAGAATGCCCTTGAAAGTTTGATATTTTAGTTTTTTATAAATTTAAAAATTTATAAAAAAACCCTTTAAGTTTGCTAATTTAACTAAAACAATCCAGTTTATAAAAATTTTATAAAATGACAAAAACGCCCCCACCACCCGCAGTGCCAGATTCTGCTGGGGTGTTTAGTTAAATTTTATATGTTAGGATGTTTAGTTAAATTAGCAAACCTAAGGGGGTTTTTAAAAATTTTTAAATTTATAAAAAACTAAAATATCAAACTTTCAAGGGTATTTTAGTTATAAGTGTGTGCGAGAGTGATTATGAGAGAACACAAGTGTGAGTTCATAGTTACATAACCTGTTTGTGCGGCACTCGGGGAAGCAACAAGAGGAGAAGATCTTGCTCTCTACTCAGCCATACAAAGTATTTCTTCCCGGCCAAAATACTCAGGTCATTTACTTTATTTATAAATGTTCGTTCTTTCTTAGTTACTTTATTTGCATATATATTTTTTCTTCTGTCAATTTCAATATTTATGTGAAGTGAGGTAGAGGGTATTGTTGTTTTTTAAAGAGTGAAACAGAATGGGTATTAAGGGACAAATCACGTCTTTAACTTTATTCAAACATTCCTCTTCCTTTACAAATACTTAATCAAAAAGGCTCTTTTTAGCTAAAATGCTTTTTGGAAGGAGTCTTCTTGTAAGAATCATAGGATCGAACGAAGAAAATTCCAGAAAGTAATAAACTTTCCAGAGAAAGAAACAGAAAGTTTGGGAGAAAACAGAATTTTCCAGATCTGAAATTTTTATTAAATTCAGCTTGATTACAAACTGATCATGACTTGTTTTTATACTCAAAATAAGTCCACACTGGCAATCCGCGTGACTTGATAGATCAGCAAAACACACTTGAGAAAAGAAACACAAAATGACCATCATCAAACCGTCAATCATAACCCCAGATTTGATGAACTCTGTAGCTACGAGTAACAAAACCCCTGTTCTTCAATCTCTGTAAGTTTGTATTACAAATTTACTACCATATAATAAAACGAACTAACGGGACTTGAATTTCTGTTAACAAATAACCCTCTGTTTAACAGACTTGTAACTACCTTAACATACTTTGATAGTTTGATGAACCAATTCTGGAAAATAAGACTTCAGTAAGACTTCAAGATCTGCTTTTTTATTCCAGATTTATTTTTGACATACTTTGAGCTTGCTGCTGATTCCTTTATCTGCTGTACTCAATTCCGTAACATCCTCCTCTTCCCTCAATCCAAGCAGTAAGAAGTTTCTGCTGCAGCTTGCATTACCAGAATACAAAATTATTTGTTCTTCAATTTCATAACACTTCTCTTCTTTATACTTAGATTAATGAAACCTACCTTTCATTCTCCTGAAAAAACTGCTGGGTTCACATATAGATTGGATATTTGATTCTTACCGAAAAAATCTTCTCCAAATTAGTTAAGTTGATAGATGTTCCCTTACAGCTCTTAGAAAGATTATTGGTTTTAATTTGCAACTTTTTGAACGCCTACATAACTTTATTGACATTAACCAGGATTTTGATTCTTTAGATGGAGAGATTAACAAATTAACAAGGCACAAACAGAAACAGTTATAATTATACATGTTTTGGAGTTTAATATACAACATGTTTCAATAACTCCCGTCACTAATAAAAACAAAATTTTTGCAATCTTTTGACAAGATAAGTTTGGCGCAGATGTTGTTGTCTTCTACCATCAAAAGTAATTGAATCTCTTAAAGATAAGTTTGACAAGACATGCTCTTTAATTAATAAGATAAAATGGTGATGGGAGGATGAAAAGTAAACACAAACGTATGAAATCTGTGTGGAGTTCGGGGAAGCAAGAGGAGAAACTCTTGTTCTCAACTCAACTACATATATTCTTTACTTATTTATGGATTAGCTGCGAAGTTAAAATCTTATCTCAAAGTTAAAATTAAGTCATAGGAATGGCTTGATCACATTCAAGTGCCACAAATTTCGTGATCTTTACTTAATTATCAGACTAATTTCGTGATCACATTTAGTGCCATCTGACTAATTTCATGATTTGTGCCATGGTAAAAATATGGATTAGTTTCAACAAACTATTCTGAGGGATTAAAACATTATCAGTTGAATGCTAATTGCTAAGTTTAGTTAAAAAAATTCTGAAAGTTTTGACATTAATAAAATAAAATGGAGGAAGTTAGTAAAGAAAGAGAACGATTCAAGAGTAGGTAAACATTGATAAAAGAAAATGGCAATAATGTTGATGTGCTCATACTTAATTAATGCATTATTGAGAATTTTAAGTACGAATAAGTGAGGTATCATAATTTCATTAATTATCTATGTGGCATTCGTGGTGTTAAGTGAAGGTTCAGCATTATATTAGTACAATAGGTCCCCTCACATAAAACTTGGATTTCTTTTTCACTTTCTTTTATCCAGATGAATGCGGAGATTCAAAGACCTTTAGCTTTGATACCATGCAGTGATTCCATTCTTTCATTTTCACTACCGCTTGTCCTTGGGAAGTCTCATTAAGTGAAGTACCCTTTTCTGGAAGAAGGAGAAAAAGAAGCCTTGTTTTCAACTCAGCTGCACAAAGTATTTCTTTTCGGAAAAAATATTCAGGTCCTCTACTTGCTTTAATTTGTTTTAATTTTAAATTATTTTTGATCATTATTTCATACTATAATTAATTTGGTAGTTCGAAAGTTCTTAGTGAGCAACTAAATATAGATATTTATGTAAAAGTGCACACTAACAAGCATTCTAGGTTTACTGTCAACATGGAATTAAAATCTGCAACTAAAATATAGATATTTATGTAAAATGATCGAGCTAATTAGTGACGGTTAACTCACTAAATATATTATGCTAATGTTATGTAAGAAAATAAGAAATTAAGACTTACACGCATCTAAAATAAGATAAAAGAGAGAAAACAATAATGTTAACAAACATCAAATTAATTAGGAATTCTGGAAAAACCATAGCATTAGTTTGAAATATCAAAACTTAAATCTCATTCTGTAGTAAGATATACTAATACTAATAATAATAATAATAATAATAATAATAATAATAATAATTAATTAATTAATTAATAAAATAAAATAAAGAAGAAAAATTCGAGGTTTAGATATTGTGTACTTCTGTAAAAAATTTTAAAAAAGAAAATTATTCATTCAAGGTTGGTTTAGGCAACAGGTAACTTGATGGCAAACAACTTAGCAAGTTGTGATGAGGAAGAACATGAGGTTAGAATTGATATCCAGGCCGCCGAGTGTTGTATTCACAAGGTTCCTAGAAATCTACGGGAAGTAAACCCAGAAGCTTACACTCCTCAGTTAGTTTCAATAGGCCCTTATCATCATGGCCAAAATGCGCTGGCTGACATGGAAAATCATAAAAGGAGATACATGAACTCGTTTGGTCAACGAATCCCCTACTCTCCTGATAGAAAGAAGGAGATCCTGAAATTTGTTGGAAAAAAGGAAAAAAGAATCCGCCGTCAATATGCTGAGCCACTCGACATTCCAAGTGATGAGTTTGTAGAAATGATTATACTTGATGCCGTCTTCATCATTGAGCTCCTCTGGAGATTTGGGAATAGGGACAGTTATGATTTTTTGCTAAATGAGGTTTGGCTAAGAGCTATAAGACGGGACTTGCTGTTACTCGAAAATCAGCTTCCATATTTTTTGCTTGAGGGTTTATATAACTTGGCCTTCACTTCTGCTAGCAAAGATGAAGTGTCTGATGACGAAAGGATTCCCTTCACCAGTCTTTCTGTTTTTTTCTTCGAACTCAATCGCTCGCACAACAGACCGCTTTCTTGTCAAAGTAGGAGTATCAAAATTAACCATTTCACTGATTTGTGTAGATATGCTCTAGTAGAAATTCCAAAGTATCCCAAGTTTAAACTCCGAATAACGTCTGAGGATATTTTACCCAACGCACTGAAGTTGAAAAATTCAGGATTGAAGTTTGAGCCTTGTCGGAATAGATATTTGGTTGACATACAATATCAAAAGATAAAATCACCAATGTCCTTTTCTACTGTAGTTGAGCTGCAAATCCCACCCATTGAAATAACTGACAACACGGAATGTTTGATCAGAAATCTGATGGCCTTGGAGCTGTGTCATTATCCGTCCAAAACTTATATATGTAGTTATATTCAAGTAATGGATTCTCTTATCAACACCGAAGACGATGTGGATTTGCTTGTTGAAAAGGGAATTATTGTGAATTTTATGGGCAACAATTCTGTAATAGCGGACATGTTTAATGAACTGTGCCGACAGGTTCCTTTAAGTTATACCTATTACGATGACCTTTGTTGTGATGTGAACGAGCACTATGAAAGTGCTTGGAACCATACCATGACAACTTTGAGAAGAGTGTATTTCAGCAATCTTTGGAGAGGCACCGCAACTGCTGTCGCAATTATACTCCTGCTGCTTACTTTGACACAAACTGTATTTTCTATCCTGCAAGTAGTCTTGCCTAACCAAATGATTTGAAGTATTTAATTTGTAATAGATGGTATACTTTATATGCAGTGCTAATTGCTTTGTCGTTTTATAGTGTGATTTGTTAGGGTTTTTGATGCAGACAATGTGGTTTCAGAATTTTTAGACAAGTAGGATTCCAAATAGTTCTACGATTTCCTTTTCCTATAGCCAAATGGGATTTTCTTTTCCTATTGACAAACTAAAGTGACATTTGTATTTTCAACTGGTGCATGATTGAATTAGTTTCATAACTAAGTAGATCTACATACATAATATTAAATGATATCTTTACTTATAATTTATTAAAATCTAATTCCAAGTATTAAAATTGTTTGTTTTTATAAATCATAAACATTGATAAGATATTGGTTTCATAAATATCCTTTTAAATATTAAATGAACACACTAATGAAAACACATCTGTAATTGAAAACAAAATAAAAATCTCTATTGAAATCGGAAGGAAATTGACACTCACACTCTTCCCGTAAAGCCACCAAACCGTGTATTCCTGTAAGTCCCTCAAGCCCTCTGAATCAAGCTGTGTAAAATGTAAAAGACAAAATGCTTTGTGTTTTTGGGTCCATTTGCTTTTACTTAGGGGTGCTTAAGAGCTGCTCGCGACTCGGCTCGAGTCTGGCTCGTTAACGGCTTGGCTCGTTATATAACGAGCCGGCTCGGCTCGGTTCGTGAGCCATAACGAGCCGAGTTCGAGCCATGCTCGACTCTGTTCGTTAGGCTCGCGAGCCGAGCCTGGGTAAAAAAATATTGAATTTTTTTCTAAAAAAATGGAATTTTTGAGAGTCAGCTCGCGAGCCAGCTCGAACTCGGCTCGATATATCCTAGACTCTTTCCGAGCCGAGCCGAGCCACAAATTTCATGGCTCGGCTCGACTCGATTAATCTTCTTCTCTCACGAGCCGAGCTCGTTAAGCCGAAAACTTTGCTCGACTCGGCTGGTTAACACCCTTACTTTTACTCATCTTTTCCTAATTCCTTTACTTAATTCTTTAATTAAAACTTATTTGAACATTTCAATTATTCTTTAACTTTTTTAAACATATTGATTATCATAACATATATGTTGAGAGGGGAAAACATTGAACATAGGAAATTTGAATTATTCCTAAACTTATTTTAATATATTGAATGAGTTTGTATAATAACATCAATATCAATGTTATTATATATGCCTTTCCTTTGTTATACACAATTTAGTTAATATTTCTTCTGTTATGCCCAGGAAAATAAAGGGCTGACGTGGGGAAGTCACGTGAAGGGTGACCTGCTCCCGTCAGAGCGACACGCACACGTCAGACCTGCCAAGTGATATGGAGCTCACACGCGTCCATTTCCCTGCAATAAGTCATGCGATGTCAGCTTGGGAAAAGGGAAATGAGACGTAAAGCCGGATTACATCCTGACAATCACACCAAACCATGGATTTAGTGATGATTATACGCTTCAGTTTTGATATAAAATGAAGAAGACCCCTTCATTAAGGGGATTCGGCCATTTTTCATACAAAAAAAAATCTCTCTCCTGTAAACATTTTTACTTTATTAACTCATGTAAGTCAGCCCGCAGTCGCGACCTGACCCACACTAACATCAATACAAATCAGTGGACGTAGGACTTGCTGCCTCAGCATCCGAACCACTTAAAAACTCTCTTTGCATTTATTTCGCTTTATATATATTCCATTTTCACGTGCATTCAACAGCCAATCAACGTTACGCATGTGGGAATTCGTTGGTGCTTAAACTGAGCATCAACATCTTCAAATAATTTTTCATTTGAATTTATTATTAATTTTTGAAATAGTTACAATAAAAATACTGTTGATTATTAATAAAATATATTATTTATTAACATATAGTTATAATGTTGATCATGATAATTTTTTTTTTTTCATATTTATATTGATTAAATAATTTACATTTTAAATTACCTTTTCTCTTATTAATCCTCACAAACATGAGAAGTTAGACAAATATACATTTCTGACACATAACATTACAATTAATTCAATATTTTTATTGCCCATTCATTTTGTTGTGTGTGATTTTGCCAGAACGCTTGCAGATCTTAGAAGCTCGCAAAGCTGTAGTCCGACCCAAAATCAATTTGACCAAAAAACATGCTCAACCCAAATTCAACACGATCCAGAGTAAGCTCGACCCAGCTAATGTTCGTCACAACGACCAATCTTAAGAGCTGTTCGACAAATCAAGGATAAGCTTCAATCTTTGATACTTTGGAAGAGATAAGATCAATATCGTTGACAGTAAAATCTTAGCACTCGATCGTTGAAATCACGGGATTGTATACCAAATCTGATCGCAATCTCGGATTTGTTTCTCTTTCCTTTATAAAAAAAACTTATATAAATAACCCATCAAATTAGTATAGGCAATTTACATTTTTTCTTGTAAACTCTCAAAGTAATAACAGGGCAATTTACATTTTTTCTTTTAAGCTCTTAAAGTAATAACAGAACAATTGACATTGACGTAACTTAAGTCTTAACTTATAAAACCACTTAAAATGCACCAATTCTTTATTTTATTGCACTTTTGTATAACATTGATGATTTTCATTTAGTCACGTGCATATTTGAGGTCAATCAAACCTATCTTGTTAGTGCAAATTTCGTACCAATAGACTTGTCCAAAATATATTTACTGTGATCAATAGCGGCGCCAACTCAAACACTTCTTCACAATATCCAAAAGAAAGTGATAAAATTCCAATTAGACAGCTTGGGTTGGTAGCCATGTTTAATTGAAATTTATTGTTCGGTTGGTGTTGCTTTAAACCACAATAAANTATATTCCATTTTCACGTGCATTCAACAGCCAATCAACGTTACGCATGTGGGAATTCATTGGTGCTTAAACTGAGCATCAACAGTTTGGCGCTAGAAGGAGGGCCTGATTTAGTGTCTACCCTTCATCAGGAGAATCTTTGACCTACTGGTCTTACAGCTACAATGGCCCGCCAATCTGAACAAGAGCAAGGGAACCAGCATGCTGAAGGAGTCCCCCTGGCCCAGAGGGACACCCCTTCCAACATACCTCTAATTTCGCAAAATGTTGCTGGGAATACCCCAGCAGCCCCGCAACTGGACCCTGCCATCAGAAGCTACCTGGAGAGGTTCGACAACACTCTCCAGACGGTCAACCAGAGGTTAGACCGTCTGGACCAAGGCATGTCATCTACGACAGCCGGAGCGGTACAGCCGCCAAAAACGCCTGCAGGTCGCGCAAAAGCGCGGCAGAGGGCGATAGCCCGTGCCGCGAGCACTGCAGCGTGTAAGCGCAAGGGTAAACAAGTGGCAAAAAATAAGCCTACGGGCTCCCAAGGGCCGGCGAATACCAAAGGTGCCCCAAGCAGGGTATCAGCAAAGCTGAGACTTGGCGAAAGAGTGGACCCCGAGTTGTCCCATGCCACGATGCAGGCAAACCCAAGCAAAAACGCTGGGCATGGTGGTTCCGATCACCACCAGCAGAGCGATCCCGATCGTTATGCGGGAGGCCCTCACACCTAGCGGGGCGGTTCGTACCACCGCGAGGGTCGTGAAAGTGCCCCCCACAACCCATCATCTTCACACGCCTCTAGTCAGCGTGTGTCAAGTGCGGCCGGAAATGCCAGCCGAGGCGAGGAGGAATCCGATCTTCGGACCTTCCTGAACCACAACCGAGAAGGCAGGGCTCGCACGGGTGAAAGCAACCCTCAATTGGCTCCATTACCGCAAATTGAGGAGCTGCAGCGAGCTCTGGACAGGTTAAGGGAGCAGCAAAACGAACAGGCACAGGTCGCCTCTACATCCCCATTTTCTCCTGAAGTGCTAGCTGCCCCACTTCCACCAGGGTTCAGAATGCCAGATATGCGGCCGTTTGATGGAAACTATAATCCGAAGGAACATATATATGAGTTCAACGACATGATGGAACTCCACCAGGTTTCGGACCTTGCGAAATACCGATGTTTGGCTGTGACGCTGACTTCTCACGCCAAACGGTGGTTAAGGTCGCTCCCAGCGGGATCGATCAGTTCGTGGCCTTAGATGAGCACGACGTTCTTGCGCCATTTCCAAGCCAACCGGAAATTTTCAATGCCTTTGAGCTACCTCAGCAACATAAGGCAAGAAAGAGACAAATCCCTGCAGTCTTACGTTGACCGCTTCCACGGGGAACTCAACAAGGTGGCTCATGCCCCAGAGGAGTCCATCCGAACTCTTATAATAGCCGGAGTTCGCCCACAAACTGACCTATGGAAGGAGCTGCAGGCTGAGGACGATATTTCCCTCACCAGATTCTACAACCTGGCGGAAAAGTATCTTCGAATAGAGAATTCATTGGCGGCACTTCGCCGTCGCGATCGCGGCACCTCCAGCAGTATGTCAGGTCAGGGAGAAAACAGGCGAGCTGATCGCAAAGGAGACAATGACGATCAGCGAAAAGGGAAGAAACCCCGCTACGAGTAGAAAAAGTCCTATGCTCCTGTCCTCCGTCACGACCGCGATAGGGCCCAATACACTCCGCTGAATGTGTCTATATCTGCGATCCTCGACAAATCCGAGGAAGCCAGCTTGCTCGGTGAGCCAGAACCCATGAAAACTCCTGCAATGGCCAGAAACAGCAAGAAATACTGTCGTTACCATCGGGATAACGGGCATCACACTGATGAATGCCGAGCTCTAAAGCAGGCTATCGAAGAACTTATCAAGAAGGGGCACTTCAAGGAGTACATTGACGACTCCCCAAAAGAAAATCAAGGGGAGCAAAAGAAAAAGCGCCGTGATCGCAGCGGATACAGCAATGTGAACCTAATTTTCGGAGACCCGCACCTCGTTGGGAACACGCGAGGGGCGCAGGACAGGTATGCTCGGGAAGCACATCACGACCTGATCAGGGTAATGAGCACATCGCAGCGACCTCAAAAAGCCAGGAAGGAAGAACCAATCACCTTCTGCGAGAAGGAGGCAGCTCGCTTGCACCACCCACACGAGGACGCTCTGGTGATCACACCCCTGATAGGGTGTCATAATGTCTGCAGAATGCTTGTGGACAACGGAAGCGCTGTGAAGCTTAACCATATCGTAAATGGTTAGAAAAAAATATTAGTTAGCTTAGAATAAATTAATATATATGTTATATTGATATGTTTGGTTGGAAGGAATAATAGGTGGATATAT